GCAGGCAAATGGGCTTCACCAAAACAGGCTTCTCCACTCGTATTAGCTTATCCCATGACTTCTTTTTCCCTTTCCTCACCTCATCCTCAGAAGATTTCTAATCCAGATTTGTCAGCTGGGCAAGTGAGTCTCTCAGCCATCTGAGGTGAGAGAAGCTCTTCCAAGTGAAGGAATGACTGGTAATGGGAGAAGTTGCTTGCTGTTCTTACCTCATTGCTCAATCCATATTTCATCACTTATTAACATAACAGGGTCTCTTTTGGGGCTCCAAAGCAGAAGGGGGAGGATAGCACAGGCTGCTCATGCACGAGGTGAAAAGGATGACAGTAGCACTTTGCTTTGATTTCCTCTCTTCTCAGTGGCTTTACTTGATGGAAGCTATGGCCCATACAAGACTTTCCTCCAGAACTCTACAGAGTGGTACTGTGTCCTCAGCAGTTCTGCAGAGAAAGGTGAGGGATTCTGAGAGCCTCAGAAGTAACAAAATTACTTCACCAAAATTTTGTCTGGTTCCTCCTCAACCTTTGAGGTGGGGAATAGTACTGTCAGTCACAAGTAGATTGTTTTAAAGAAGGAATCTGGGGAATTGAGGTAAGAAGACACTCTATTGTACATCTTTACTTAGAATTCTATGAAAACATGCTCCAGGTCGGTGAAAGAGGGTGGGTCATTCCATACCTGCACTTGACCAACCTTCCTACTCTTCCCCTAACACAACCCCTCTATTGCAAGTCTAGTCTATGATCTAGATGAAAGTGCTTCTATACTGGCTGGCTCAATCCAGTTGCACTCCCTGTGCTGGCTCACTGCCAGTTCACACAAGCATGATGGTCAGTGTGAGGGACAGTGGAGGGAGGATGATGTTTAGTTCAGAAGAGCTGGGGAGCTGAGCTGCAGTCACACATGAAATGATGGTAATATGGAGTGCTGGAATGCTGGTAGTGCAAGTTCTCAAACTCAGGTCAGAGATCTCTTTTCATGCTGCCTCAACCTTTGTGAGAACATATCTGTAGCTTTTCATGCACCATTTGACTCTGGGCATAAGGCAGATCTCTTGGATAAGCTGCCTGTGTAAGGAACTGCCTGTGTAAGGAACTGCCTGTGGTGGCAGCAAGGCTGTCAGAGTCAGTTTGCTGTCAGGCTCTGAATCTGCATGAGCTGAGAGCTTGGACAATTCTTTTCTGATGAAAGTGTTTCTAGAAAAGCGCAAGCCAACTACTTCCCATCTTGCTTCCTCAAGAACGGTAAGGCAGAAAAACCATGTCTCTCATCAAAGAGAGGTTGCATGGACATGGCAGGACAGAGAGAGAAAGGGAAGAGGCCCCTTCAGGCAGGGGCTCTGGGACAGGAGCCTGCCAGGCTGCTGACAGCTTTACTTCTAGAGAGCAGAAGAGAGCATTTATCTCTGTCCAGGCTTTGTCCAGTTCAAACCCCACACCTAACACCTGGGAGCCTATATTGAACTCACAGCCATGAAGGACAGCACATCTTGTTCAAAAGCAGGATTTTTTTCCCCCACAGTGGATGGCTGGACTTGCTGCCCAAAGGGCTGGAGAAGGTTTCAAGGAAACTGCTATTTCCTGTCCTCTGACACGATGTCATGGTCTGAGAGTGCACAGAACTGCACTGGGATGGGCTCCCAGCTGGTGGTGATCACCAGCAAGGCAGAGCAGGTAAGTGCACAGGGCTGAGAGAGGGTCCCAGCAGGCAGAGACACAGTGCTGGGCCCTGGAGGGGACTCAGAGCCCTCCGTGTCCTGCAGGGGAGGGGGAAGGTCCTGTCTGCACCTCTGCAGCACCAGCCCCCTCTGCCACCTGCCCCAGCCCACGGGGACTCCTGATGACACTCTGTGCTCAGTCCTGCCCCTCATGGGCATTGTGCTTTTTTTCCAGGAGTTCCTCTTCAACTTGATAAAAGAAAAAGTTACTAACAGCTATGAAACAAAATACTACATAGGCTTAGCTGCTTACAAAAATGGGTGGCAGTGGGTGGATCAGACTCCATATGAAAATACAGCCACGTGAGTATCTTGGTGAAGTGAGGAGAGGCCTAAAATTCATGCCCTCAGTCCAAGAGACCAATACATTGTGTAAGGCAGGTATTTGTCAGAGGTGTATTTCTGTCTTCAGCTGCTCTGCAAGTCCGAAAACTTACATAACTTTCTATTCAAAACTATGGCTCCTAATTTCTGGCACAGTGACTTTCCTTTTCTCTTTCACAACTGTTTGAGGTGACTCCACATCCACTGTAAAGCATGGTAGTGCATTTCCAATAAAGAAACTTTCTTTTACAGGTTCTGGAAGCCTGGGGAGCCTAATTTACTCTTTGCAGAAAAATGTGCTGCAATTCACGTCAAGGGAAAAGGAGACCCCAACACTTACAGTAACTGGAATAATATCCTTTGCATCACAAGTTGCTATCGAATTTGTGAGCAGGCAGTCAAGCTTCTCTGAGGAAGGACATAAAATCTGAGCTTCAAAGTACCTCAGTTCCCAGCCTGTGCCCCTCCATCTTTTACAAGCTGGAGATCAGTCCTGGATGAAATAGTTCAGACTGATGTTAAAGACCTATTGTGAACCTTTCCACTCTCCTCTTCAGAAACAAAGGTCCTAATTCTCCATCACTTCCCTTGCCTCCTGGTCCAACCAGTATCTCAATGATGTGGAAAAAGCCATCACTGTTACATGAAAGGATACTTGTCCTTCAAATCGCTGAGGCAGAATTTGAAAGAAGAGCATTCAGTGGAGTGTCCTTGTCCTTCCTCTGAAGGGAAAAGTTATTCATGGCTGTAGTGTTTCTTTCTCCTTCAGCACATGGTGTGTTGATTAATTAAAAAAAAATAATAAATGTTAATTCTGCTCTTTGCATGAGGATATTTTCTGAGTGATGTGTCCCGGATTCCCACAGTCCAGCTTCCCAACACAGAGGTTTTAACTTTTCAGTGTACAGCAGCTGTAGATGAGAATATTGCTGAGTGTGCTGGACTGGCTGGGAGCAGGAACAATGTAATGTTCATCTGTAGAGCGTGTGAGAAAGGTCCTGAACACTTTGGAGAATCATTTGTGAAGACAGAAACAGAGCAGGCTGTGTAGTATTCAGTGCCAGCCAGTTGGCCCAGGATGTAGCAGAAAAAATTATAGATGTTGGAGATTCTGCTGAGATGTGGCAGGATGAGGTATGGCAATGAAGGGGAGAGAAAGCAAGAAAATGTAACAAGAAAGAAAAAAAATGGAGTCTCCTAAGGAAAAATTTCTAATGAGAGAGAAGGGTGGAAGACCCCTATCAGAGGCATCACTGCAAGTCAGATACACAGAAGTCTTGAGCAGCATTCTGCTTCCCTAAAATTTCCCTAATTCCTGTCTGTATGTTCCTCCTCACATCAATGATATCCACATTCTTTGAGGAACTGGGAGTTTCCAGTTTGGAACTAAAAATACAACCTGAAAAATCAGTTCCCCATGAAAAATGTGAGTACAAATTTTTGTAATTTCTGCCTGAAGAAGTGTATTTTCCAGGTTTCTGGTTTAGCAACTGGACCAAAAGGTTGGCTGTTGTGAAGTGTTTGCTTCCTAGTTTCTTTCACAATGGAGAAAACTATTTTCTGTGCAACATGACCACAAACCCAAACATTGCAATGGACTTCTTGATTTCCCCCAGCTCAGTTCTGGAACTTTCAGCAACAAGGTTTTGAGGAAGAAAAAGAGGCAGATAAGACACGCAGAGAGTGACCAATGTTTTACAAGTGGTTTTAGGGGTGCTGCAGTTCTGGTTCCTGGAAAGTTGATGGGGCAGAGCAAAACCCACACCAGGAGATTGGTTTGCAAGAAAATGCACGTAACTTGCTAGAAACAGTCTCCCTTCCCCAAATTTGGACAACCAAGTTTTTCTTGAGAGTCATGACAAAAGAGGGATCTTGGGAGATGATCCTGGGTTTGCCTACAGAATTGCTGAAGGGAGATTCCTGATCCCCTCCTCAATATGGATTTGGCTGATGGAGGTCCCTATCTCCAACAGATAAGAATCAGTCTTTACCCCTCAAGTCTGGCTTGATTCAGGAGGCAGCAGATGCCACAGCAAGAGGCAGAGGTGATGACAGACAGTTAAGTACAGGATTTTCAGAAAGCTTCAGAAGGACATTCCTGCATACTGAACCCAGGGCTTGGGTGGGGAGGACAGAAAGTTTATTAGCATTCTTCATGATGACACTTGCAGTCCTTGCTTTCAGGTGGACATCTTGGCCACATCCCAGCTGCCTCTCCGAACAAGATGTGGATGATTACCACTCCTTGGCACATTAACTTTTGCTTTGGAATGGAACTTGGGTTTGAGGAAAGGAGCAATAGTGACATTCACTTCTGAGAACACACACAACATTGAGTGCAGGTACTCTGACTGCTGCAGCAAAATTCTCTCATGGTTCAAACCTGAGCTAGCTGCTGGTTTTCCTCCAGAAAGCTCATGCTGCCCAGTCTTTGAGATGTTGTCCTCAGCTGGAAAAACATAATTAGAGCCATTTGGAAGGGCATCCAGCATTGATTCTTATGGTCAGACTTCTTAATTACATCTGTTCACTGAGCATGCTGCTCTCTTTATGTTTAGCTCTAACAGCTGAGTATTCCTTTGTAGGATATGACTGACTTTCTCTAATAAATTATGATCTTTGCCAAGCTAAGTGATGAAATAAAGTGAAAAATAAGTTTTTCTTGGCAGACACTATTTATTATAATGATTTAAATTTTCCTCCAAGTGTGTCTGTTCTTCTTTTTTAGACAAAGCAGAGAATTACACCTCTACTCCTTTTCTTTTTCTGTTTTATCCCACCTCAGATTATTTCATGTTCCCTCACAACATTTATTTCTCCATGTCTTTATTTTCTTTGCACTCCTGCTGTCTTTCATACTGTTTCCCCCTTTATCCTTTTTTTTTTCCTTTAAAATTTCATTTCCTTTTATCTTTTCTTGCTAGACCCCAGATGAAGAGCATACATTGTTGTTTGGAAGAAATAAAAGAGAGAAATGGCATCTTAAGAAGTTCTGGCACTGGACACATGTCTGTTCTGTCTTTCAAAATTTAGTGTTTCTAAAATGATTTCCTAAGCAGTCTTGTGTAAGGCATTAGTACTAACCCAGGTACTGTTTCCCTTGCAAGGTTCTTATTATCCAAGAGATCCACAATCCCCAGTTGTTCACTTGTGCAGTTCATGCTGGTTATCCTTTGTTTATCTCAAGTTGTCTAAGACAAATCCTATGCTTTTAGCCTTTATTAGCCTTTGGTTACAAGGGAATAAAACCACATTTTTATTTTATATGGAATCAGTTCACATACCTGAACAAGGTTTTTCACATCCTGCTGCTTAATTATAAATCATTTATCTTGACAAGCTTTTGGACAATCTGCTGGTCTCCTGGAAATGCCTCAGCTGATCATGAGGTCCAGCACTTCAGCACCATCTCCTGCTCACAGCAAGTCACTAGCACTCTCTCGGTGTCACTGTGATCTACATGCATGAGATCAGGAGGAGATGCCTCTGACTGTCACTGCAGTCCCATGTGGTGCATTGATGGCTTTACAGCAAGGTAAGAATTCTGTAACATTCACTAGAAAAAGAAAACATAGCCACAAGACAAGGAATTGCTTCACTCAGGATCTCAAAATGCACCATAAAAATTGGCTTGTGCTATAGTCCATGTTTTAACATAGGGGAAATTCACTGTAGCATTTAAGAGCTGGACATGTATATGGTTGTTTAGATTGGAGCTCAAAACAGACCACTGTAAATACACCCCAGTGCTGTGTTCCTCCCATGACATTCACTCCTGCTAGGTGAGGCACCTGCTGCCTTAGATCCTCATGCAGACTGAGTTGCCACAATTTTACATGCATTAGATGTCTGCAAATTTACTCTAGCTAAGGATCAAGGAGGTAAGTTCACTGCCCGAGCACTCTTTTGCTTCTGACATGAGCTAAAGCAGCTGTTTCTCACTGCACAGTTGCCAGCTCTGAAGGCAGAGCATGAAGGCAACCTCTTTCAGAACAATTAAACACTCATCAAGGCCTCTCCTGTGCAGTGCATCAAGGCTTTCCTTTAAATGATCATCCTCATTTCTCATGGCTATAGCCATAATTTCACCTGAGTTCTTCCATTTATTTCCAGCTTTATTATGTCCTAACGTGTCTCTGCTTTTAAAGTGACATTCCATCCCCCCGCCATTCCAACTCTTCTCCTAAATATCAACAAACTTTGCATACCTGAAATCAAAGTCTGGAACAGAGAACATTTTGGAGATAAATAGAGAAAATAAAAAATGGGAAGGGGTTGATTGGATTCATTGGTAATAAGAGAGCCAATGTTTCCCCTTCTGTGGTTAAAATTACTCCTGTTAGGAAAGGAAGTAGTGGGACCCACACAGGGCAGAGTTGGGAGGAAGCCAAGAACGAACTCTTCTATCACATGTACAATGCAGAGATGCTTCTCAGATTCATTGGAACACCACACTATTCAGAAAACATTTAAAACTACTGCAGAGAACTGCCTTTAGGTCAGACAATCACACATTTTCATGAGCCAAAACCTGTTTAGGAGATATATTGCTTCATGGGATCATCTGACCAGATGGGGAAAGAAACAGCCAGCTGCTGGGAAGGGTTTGCCCAGACTGGATATCCCCAGGCCTTAAAGAAACCAGTCAAATTCCTCCTGACCAGATATGAAAAGGTTTCTGCCTGCAGATTCATTTTTGAGTCATCATCATCTGGGAGCTCAGTCATATTTTGGTGTTCAGAAAATATCTTGGTGAAGGCTTCCTATCCAAAGGCCTCTTGTAACCATGAATCACAAGTGATACAGTACAAAATACATCCATGGAAGTTAAGAATTATTCTACCTGCATTCTTAACAAAATTGTGTATTGAATTCAGTTATTGATCTTTTCACAGGGCATTTTTTTTTAAAGTGTAGCTGCCCTCAAAATTTTAAATGCCTACTGAAGAACCAAAGCAGCCCTTTAACAACATCAGATTATTCAACAAACTCATCTGTCCACTATTCACACAAAACCAAAAATCAAGTACTTATATAAGTGCTCTTCATCCTGAAGGGCAGGACTGTGCTCACAGGCTTGATCCCTACTTCTTTTTTTTCCCCAACTGTTACAAGTGTTCAAAACAAGACTGATAAAAAATATCAACCCACCTCTCCATGCATATTTAAAATATCTCTTCATACTTACAATACATAAGACTCTTCTCACAGCACGAAAATGCAGGTTCCCTGCCTAGAGACTGCACAGCTGATATTTGTACTGTCCAGTTAACCAGTTAACCCTGGTTGCTACTGAGTGGAGTATTGCACCACAACTCTGAAAGACTGGCTCAAATGTAGTATTAGGGAAAAAAAGAAATAGAAAAATAATTCTCAGTGATCAGAAGTCATCTTTGGTACTTCCCAAAGGAT